GCCACATTTTTCCGGCTCTCCTGCCTCATCTGCAGGATGGCAGGCAGTGCTTCATTTACATGTGCCAAAAAGCAGTCAAACTACCATCTCTGCATTTCCAGATGAGCTCGGCAGCACTATCACACGTCAGATGAAAGCTCTCAGATTTAGCAGGGCGTGAAATGGATAAAACATGCATTGACAAAGGTGCAATATAATTGCATATATTACCATCTCAAAGAGTTTTCACAGACACAATGCCTTTCACCTCTTCACCAGATCCCCATTTTTTTTTTAATTGTGAAGAATCCAGTTTGACCTTGTGAGCATATATCAAAGTTTTCCTTCCTTTTAAAATACATACTTGCACATCGCACTGATGAAATGTCTATCATTATAAGAAGTGAGCTGTTGCCTTCACTCTCACCCCTTTTGAAGAACTTGTGAAATTGAGTTTCTGGAGTGTCTTACACGTTTCAATTTTCGAGGAAAAGCAGTTAAATTTTGAGGGTCTGAATGGCAGTTATCTATGCTACACAGCCTGTGCACTGTGCTAAGCTGAATTACTTTTTTCTTTTCAGACTCTGTGGAGGCTTGGTGATTATGTAGGCTTTTTTTTTTTTTTTTTTAAGGAGGATAGATTACATAGAGTTTTTTGTCACTCAGACCAGCAACTTTCCTCCAAAGACACACACACACATCCATGTTCAATGACTACACGTGCTATACTCGGGCTGGTACGCGTTGCAGGAACGTCCCTGGTTTCCTATTTGTTGTCAGCCACTGACAACACAATAACTTTGTCGAGAAGCGCCAATGAAGGATTCATGCGATAATCGTTAATCTCTGAAAGCATGTTTTATGGCGTCTTAATTTGCCGCGGAGAGAAACACATAAACACATTCTCAGGCAAACATCTGTCTCTCTCAGGCTTCCCCACACACACACACACACACTCGCAGTTGCTCCCCCACATGCATGGCATCACAGCGGCCATATCCTTCACTGAGTCGAGTCTTTGATGAGGCAGCCGATGCTTTGAAGCCCGGCTCTGCCATCAGGAGCTTTTAAAGAAGCCCCACTTCTCTCTCTCTCTCTCTCTCTCTCTTCCACTTTCACTCCACAATCAACTAGCTCATATCGCCAACTGAACCGCAAATCCACGCTAGACCACACAGATAACCCAAATCTGATCTTCCTCATCTTGCCTCGCCTCCTCTCATCCCAGTCAAAAGATTCAGACACAAACCTCCCCCCATTCTCTGCCTCCCCAATCTGTCTTACTGGAGCTGTGACTACTTTATCTTTTGCACTCTATCCTCACTCCCTCATCGCGTTGTGTTCCTCCAATCTCATTACCACCCTCCTGGAATCCACTGGCGCTTCCCTCACAGATCATCTTCCCTTTTCTTTTTTGAGAAAAAGCAACAAGTATTTGCAGTATGCTTGTTGTGCAGCAGTGACAGACATCTTGGAGGGAAGAAGATGGATTCAAAAGGAATTCCTTGTTTGTGTGCACTTGTTTGGATGTTGGCGACCATTTGCGCTAAAGAATGGCGGTGAATGTTTGGACTAGTGCTTTAAATTAGGACGTTTTTCTGAAATTTCTCAACAACCACTGGGTGGATTTCGTACCAGTGTTCATGGTGGCGAGGCGATGACTTCTAAAAAGCAGCAGGTCATTGTTGTCTGACTAGAATGTGTTGGGCAGCCCTTGGCTCTCAGACAATCAAGTGTAATAATCTGATCCCATAATCCATGTTAACTATGCTTGGACAATGAATGAAGATAGTAAATATATCTGCCTCCCCTTGTGCAGGAATGTTAAAAAAATAAATTAAAGACAAACTTACCATTAGTTTCCTCCACTTTCCCCCCGCCCCATTTTGTTCTTTATACCAAAAGTTCTTCACAGATGAGAATTCATTGTACTGGCTGGGTTTCCTGTTTATTTTCATGTCCTCAAGAAGGTGAACCAGTTTTAATGAATGGCTTGCCCTCCAGCATCTCCCCAAGCACAAACTTCCTCATAATGTAGTACTGGTGCAACACTTTAGTACTGAGGAGAATAATGAAAACTCGAGCCTCTGTGTAAATCTATCAGGGTTGCAGTGTTTTACACTCTGTTGCTGATTGCAAGTTGGTGATAGAAAATAAAAAAAAAGTATGTGTGAAAACTTTAATCTGTCACCCACACACAGTCTTGCGATGTCTCAGCCATTTGCATGTAACTGACAGACAGTCTCAGACAGTTTTTCTCTCTTAGACTTTAACAAGATCTCTCAGATTTCTTGCAGTATCTCCGGGAGTATTGTCTGTCGATGCCCACACAGAAAGGTACCTGTTAGCTCTTCTGTCTGGCTGAGTGGGCCAGGAGGTGCCTGTTGTCCTCCCACGCTAGACCTGCGAGATTCTGTCGTGGCCCTAATGAGAAGTGGACCTGACATCCTCTCTGCTTCCCCATCAGCCCCCACTTCTTCCTGTTACGCTTCCACGGTAATGATGGCAGAAAGTTTGTGGCACCAGGCAAATTGTAGGTTGAATTATTGATGGGTCACTGGGTCTGTCTGGTCCGTTGCTACAGGGAGGGCTGATCATGTATGACATCCGTCAATGCATAAACAGGTATAAGAGTGTTGCTATGTGACAGGAAAAGGTCTTTTGTGTTTCCTGTGGGGCACATCGGGAGTAGCTGATGAGGTCCTGTGCAGCAACGTTATTATCTCTCAGGGTGCGGCGACTGTGACTCAGTGATTTGCTGTGACGGGGCTGCCCAGAGATGGCTTCACAAATCTAACATGTTGAGCCTCCATATATATTTTCTTAACAGTCGAACATGGGTGGGATTTACTCTTCCCTCTGGATTGCTACCGTTTTCAGTTCATGCACACACGGTGTTGCAATAACACTGCACACAACAATCAGCTTCAGATGACAAACAGGACCACCCGATTTTCCCACAGAAAATCTGAAGCACACACTGCCACACGGTGGCTGCCCTGCAACACAGGAAGACTTCATCGAAGCAGAAACCTTTCAGTAATAACCAGTTATTGTTTACAGCAGTCAGCCACGTCGTCTCGCATACTGGTAATAATTAGGCTCTGGGTATTAACATCAAAAGCTGAGGCAAAAGGCAGCGAGAATGTACAACAATTGCATCACTGAACAAGCAGAAATAACAGCAAGTGTGGCTGCTACATTATACAGTGCCAGCAGTCGGCAAACTGAAATGATTTGTATAAGCCCAGTTTAGTGGGTCAAAAGGAGGGGTAGGAAGTCTGTGGGCGGCTCATGTACTTGAGAGAAGAACGTTTAAGCTGATGAACATTGCTTAACAATATAGCTGTAATGTGGACTAATTTAGAGCTGCTCCTTTCCAGCGGGGGCTTGATTGAGCAGCCGCCACTTGTTTGTTTTCCAATTTGGGCTTTGGTGGGTACTTCCATTTTACCGCTGCGTTTGTTTTCTGAGAAGTCCTCATGTCTAATTTATTGGATCTGTTTTAGCATGTTCGCCTACTCGCTCTCCGGCGATGGTATGCTGCATAAATTATGCAGAGTACTTTTCATTTCCGACATCAGGGGTGAGCGGCTGATGTGAGACTGTGCGCTGCGAGTTAGCAGACAGCGTTCGAGACGTCTCTGTCACGCTGCCCGCTTTGCCAATTTAGATGTCGAAGCGTGTGTTTGAGGTACAAAAATGGAGCTGAAATTTGGAGTAAAACATTGGCGTAGATGTAACAAAGTTTAGGTTTTTAATAATTGGACTTACATGGTGATTTTAAAGGTTTGCAGAGAGCTGACAGAACAACAGACACTTAACAGGCTTTCTGCCCTCCTGCCCATGTTAACATTTAATATTTAATACGTTACACACCGCTGTTGCCGCACAATATGGCCACCATCTGTAGCTCAGGACTAAAATCAGGGGTAAAGCTTGCTCAACGGCAACAATGCAGATATACTGAGATTGTTCGTGAGCGATGGTGTCGCGACCTATGGGCTCATCCGCTCGTCAGTCAGCTCGCGCTAGCGGCTTGTGAAATGAAGAACGAAATCAATGTGCAACAAAGGGTCTCCCTCCTGTCAGTCTCGTCATACCCAGCTGTAAGGGTGGATGTATTCACCAAGGTGACTGAAGCTGAGACATGTAATATTCCTTTCAGTGAGCGATGACTGCAGCGAGTGTCTGAGATACAGTATCCGTTTCACTTCTGAATATTCCTGTGTTTGCCCATCAGGCCCATTAAGATGGAAAAAAAAAAAGGATCCTAATAACGATCAAGGCCGCTGGGAGAAAGACTAAACAAACCAGGTGCAGCAGCTGCTTGTAAAAAAAATCGACTTTTCTTCCAGTCACCTTGCACTGAGCAAATGAGCATCTTATTATGGCCTCAGCAGAATTAAACCTCAGATATCTTTCAGCCAGCAGCAATCCTTGAACCATGTGTTCCTGGGTGCGTGCACAAATTTCTAACTCCAACCGTAGAAATAACATTTGGAGATGAAAATAATAACTTTCTCTCTCTCTCGCCTCACCTCCACAATATCTGCATTTCTTACTTAAGCGCCCTCTATGATTGATTACGTCCATGATGAAAACTGATTCTGTTTTGAATTTTTACCCTCAGACGAGCAGCAGTTATTTATCATACAGGCATCACCAGTGCTGTGAAATAGAGCCGCGAATCAGGAAAGTGCAGAGCTAACACGACAAAGACCTGACTTTGAATTTATGACCAATAAATTGTGAGTTTAGCTTGAATTGTGTGGAAAATCTTTTACACGAGGATCATATTCAGACGACTGTCCAAACTGCATGGTTTGAATTAGACATTGTAACATAATGGCATGATTCTGTTTGGAGATTTATGGATTTACAGTGTGTCTGGAGGAAGAGGCGCAGTGGGGAAAGGGAGACAAATGAGGAGGAAGGCTAAAGTAGAAGGTCTTATCACAACATTTGCATCACCTCTTAATGCAATTGTAATTGATCTTTGAGTATGTGTTGTCTAGATCCAGATTCTATAACACCTAAATAGAGTCGTAACAATTACACAACTGCAAGAAAGCTTTGATTATCAGTGAGTTTTGATTGTCTACGCACGAACACAAAACATTCGCTACGTCCAACTTCCTAATGTTGTAAGGTAGTAGAAGGGCAAAAGCTCGCTTGATCCTGACTTTCAGTATGAGTACGGGTCGTGAAAGCGAGGCCTCACGATCCTTCTGACTTTTAGGGGTTTTAAGCAGGACGTATCAGAAAAGTTACCACAGGGATAACTGGCTTGTGGCGGCCAAGCGTTCATAGCGACGTCACTTTTTGATCCTTCGATGTCGGCTCTTCCTATCATTGTGAAGCAGAATTCACCAAGTGTTGGATGGTTCACCCACTAATAGGGAATGTGAGCTGGGTTTAGACCGTCGTGAGACAGGTTAGTTTTAACCTACTGATGATGTGTTGTTGCAATAGAAATCCTGCCCAGTACGAGAGGAACAGGCAGAAACCATCATTTGGTTTCTGGCTGTTGGTTTGCTTGTGATTGACATCTTTCAATTGTTATTATTAATGTAAAAAAAAAACAAAAAAACAATAAGATTGCAGATTAATCAGCAATAGAGAGCATTTTTAATTATGACCTACAGTACAGTAATACAATACAGCCTACAAACAAAACCATACAGGATCCTAATTTGCCATTGGATCTGCTTTTCAGAAGAATCCAAATAACAGGATCATAAAGCTGTAGGTACGCTTTTTAGTTTGTAAGTTGTGTCACTGCTAACCAGCTAGCCCCGGCCTGTCTCACGTTTCCCAACCTGCAAACTGGCCAGGTCGCTGTTGTGGCAGCTCTCGATGTCATTAAGCCTCTCCAACTGCAGACAGACATTGCTGGCAACAGTAGTCCTTGTTCTGCACTCTCTCTCCGCTGTCCGCCCATGGTGAGATAGGCGACTACCGTTAGGAGCTCATCCACGGGGATGAGAGACTTGCTGGAGAGGTAGCTGAGGACTCACACAGCAGCAGCTTGGCCAGCCTGCAGGTAGGGAAACACCAGACGGGATGGAGCTCGCTGGTTAGCAGCGACTAAACCTTCAAAAGAAGCAGCAGAGATGCAAATCACTGCTCAGAGCTCGGCACAAATAATCATTTGATCACATGAGTACAACTAAATCAGTGAAGGGGAATTCTGATTCAGATCATGAATCCTGATTCTGCTGCTGCCGATCGTCATGTGATCCTTTGACCACACCTACCACAAAGTTCAAGATATCTTTCCCACTCGTTCATTCACAGGTGATCAATGTCCTCACAAGTTTCTATGAGTCAATGACATTCCAGTCGAGACAACTCAGTATTAGGCAGAGCTTTTTTTCTGTGTGAACAGAGCTGATAGTCTCTGCTGCCTTTGAGTTGATTTAGAAATTTAGTTTTGATGAGGACTAAGAGCTCTGACTTTGTGAAAAAAGGGAAAATATGATGAAGCTGCCACCAGCTTGCATGTTGGTGAGCGGGGAGAGAGGCACGGGAGGTTAGTGTGTTGATAAGCTGCCGAAATAGGCATTATTTATCTGTGGTCTCAAGAAAATGATTTTTTCTCAGCCAGGCGGCATTAAGAGGATTCTGCACGTCACCCACTGAGTTTTCAGATTTGGTCGTTACTTGTGGAGCACAGGAACTTGGAGTGACTTCAGATGAACTCTTCTTACAGAAGCAACTGGTTGCATGAAAATAACTGTATGAGCTGGACTTGTATCAAGACAGCATTATGCATGCACTCTGCATGCACTCAGGTCTCAGAACAGGAGGACAGAACCAAGGAAACCACGAGCAGTCCTCTGAAGCGCAGATGAAATTTGCCTTCAAACTGCAGATAGGTTTTCCATGACTCTGCTGCTTACCACCCATTTCTCATCTTCAGAAGATCAAATTTTCAGCTCGATTCGTCTCCTGCGTCTCTGTAATGTGAATAAGGAGGAGGTGGTGGCAGGTATGAAAGAGACGGGGGCTTTGTTCTTGCGTTAAAAGCCCAGTTTTACTGAGAATCAGTGACACTGTGAGTGAGGGATTCAAGCAGATGATGAAGCCCTTCCTTGACTGCTCCGACACATCAGCAAACAGTCACACGGTTAGTCATTTTATTGCCAAGTTATATTTCCGCCATGCCCATCACCTGTCTAATTCGACTTAAGAGTGCGTTTTAAGTGTGCAGAAGAAAAGGAAAACAGCTGAGACAGCCTGCCAGGCCACGATGACTGTCAAACCACAAAATATAAGAGGAGTCAGAAAAACACCTTTGTGTGACTAAGACACTTAGCTGTGATTCATCTTTCAGAATAAGGTGATATTCTATATTTTTCCTTCTGTCAACATATCTGATAAAAATAACAAATAATGTTTGTGGAGAAAAATCCTGATAATTCTTATTTTTTAGTGCAAATAAAATCCCTTAAAGAGCTACACTGGTAGGTGATATGTTTCTTTATTAACTTGAACACTGTAGTTTAGTTTTTGTTGAGCCCACGTTCACAATGCTGCTGCAATAAATTATCACTTATGTGCCAAATCTGCAGGTAATTCCCCAAAAACTGCACTTTTTATGCCACTTTTGAAGGTTTGGCGACATGCTAGACTAAATATATTCTATGCTGAAATATGCTGCAACTCTTAGTCAGTTCTTACGTTAACAGACTATCCTGCCTGTGTTCCTGCTGTTTAGCTGAAACATACACCGATCAGCCACAACATTAAAACCCCCTTGTCTAATCGTGTGCTACCAAAAACAGCTCTGACCCATCAGGGCATTGTCACGGGACCTCTGGGGTTGTTCTGTGGTGTCTGACACCAGGAGGACGTTGGCAGGGGGGATAATTTGGGTCCTGTGAGCCAAGGTTTCCCAGCAGAAGATTGCACTGTAATGAGATAATCAATGTTATTCACATCACCTGTCAGCGGCTTTAATGCCGTGGGTGAGTGGTGTATGTTCAGCATCTGTTCTCCAAGACGTAGTCTGAGGTAACTCCGTTGCATTATCTCTTAGAATTGCATTTCATTAATGTTTGGAAGAGTTTAATTCCAATCAGCATCCTCCAGGGCTGAAAAATGAAGCCAAGCAGAAGTGCCAAAAGCTGTAGTTCCTCCAATGGCCTCATGAGGGAAAGTAAGTCAGTCCCCATAGAGCCCAATGTTCAAACTTTAGAAATAAACATAACTTTAGCCCAGTATAAAAATCATTTTGGATCTCTGCAGCTAATTCTCCTGTTAATGGGAACAGCGTAAGGAGTGAATGTTTATATAACTTTTATATAACTCACCCATTGTGTTGAGGGTGCATCACATGTTTGGCTGCTTTATGTGCCATCACAGGACGGTTTTTGCTCATTTTCGAATTAACCAGGATTTAGGTGAAAGCCGGCACTGTCAAGATGGCGACGGCTGTTTGAGAAACCTATGGGTTTGATCATCACAGTGGTCATACCTCTAGACACCTAAAAACTATGCTGCCGACCTTCGTAAAGATTTTTATTCTCAGTAGGAACAAATTGGCCCGTGGGGCTCTGAAAGGGGGCAGAAGTCAGACAGTGCTGAGACTCAAACTAACACATTGTTAGTTTGAGTCTCTTGACATTGAGACGGATATAGAATATCACCCGCCTTAAGCTTCACATCAAAAGAGCAATATGCTCCTCAGCCTACACAAGCAGTTCAAGTTCTTTACAACAATAGTTTACACTGACAGTTGGACATACAGAAGAGTGCATATTCCCGTTTTCTCAAGTCCCCTGTTCCCTGAGGCGAGGACTGAGAGGTTTTTACTGGTAAACAGAAGTGGCAGACCAAGAAAAAGTTTCTCTCCACTGGGCTCTGATGATGTTTGCTATTGGAGAGATGACTGCATGCCTGATGTGTGTCTTCGGCAGTTAAGAGCTGATAGAAAAGCCATTTGTGTCCGGCCTCCTATCTGCCAACCACCAGAGAATTTCAAGCGAAAGAGACGAAAGCGACCTGTCGGCTGTCAAATTCAATCAATGCTGCTCTTTGCGGAGTTCCACTATTTTTGTGTCCTTATAGGCAGAGAATACTAAATATAAAAAAATTGTGAACATAAACAATCTTGAAACGTATTGATAGTTTCACATTACCGAACGGAGGGGTAGGCGGTGCACAGCCGCAAAGTGCAATTACAGTAGCACTTCAGTAATGAAGCTCATGTGCTGGAGGAGACTCTCGGTGTGGCACGAGAGAGCGGCAGCATGTCGGCGAAGACAGATCTATGAACACGGCCCTTAATTTAGCTCGTGTGCTGCGTACAGTAAATCACAGAGCAGATGCCAGCCAAAGGGGTTTTGCTATAATTAATCAAGTAATTTATAAACAAGCAAACAAGAATAAATGGAGGCAATATAATCAGCAGCTCTGGCTTCATGTCTGTCTGGTTCTTAATGCAGGAGGGGGGGCGTTCCTTCAAATGTGACCAGTGAGCAAAAGTTTACTGTACTTGTGACGCACCACACAAATGAGATCAAGTTTGTGTTCACTTTGGATGCGCTTGTGGCCTTCTGGTCTGCTGGAGCAGCAGCAGCAGCAGTGGTGGTAGAAAGGACCGATGAAGAGAGATGAGACCAGGCGGAGGGTCATTAGTGCTCTCTTTGATAAAACAGAGAAGCAGGGGACTCGAGAGGGAGCGTAACACACATCAAGGCCGAGGCTGTTGTGTTTCAGGGCGTCAGAATTAACAAGTGACGCCTCCCTGGTCCCTCCTCACTGCTTTGACAGAGCAGTGTGCTGCCACAGGAATGAAAGCTCTAAATAGACCCACAAAAGTGTCTTCATGTTCTAAAACTAATATATCCAAGATCCTAACTTTTCTTTGAGGCTTCTTTATTCAGCTATAAAAGATGTAAAACTTCTTTAACCTATTATTTCTGCTCACTACAAAGCACTCAGAAAGTCAAAACATTAATCCTGCAGTTAGGCTACAACAGGGGTCGGCAACCTTAAACACTCAACGAGCCATTTGGACCCGTTTCCCATGTAAAAGAAAACACTGGGAGCCACAAAACCCCTTTGAAATCTAAAATTACAATAACACTGCATATATCGTTTTTGGCTTTATGCTATGTATAAAAAAAAAAAACTGGTGTGTTGCATTTATGAAATCAATGAACTGCTACAGAGAAAACGAAATTTTATTTCTGCAACAAAAACATTTTTAATTCCAAAAAAAAATAAGACGCTGGGTTGAAGGTTACCTTTAAATAAAATACTAAATATCTATTTGAATTACCCTTGTATTTATGAAATAAAAAGCCGATCTGAAATTATTCACCTGCAGCAAAGCAAAAATGTTGTCTGGTTGTCCTGCTGACTGCAGCTGGGCCTGCTGACCAGACTCCTGACCACCTGTGAGCGCTTTGGGACGGGGAGGAGCTCACGTTAGCACCGCTGCTCGCTGAGGACAGTAACTGCAGAACGATACGTGTTTTCACATCAGAGTCTCCAAAACACCAGAAAAGTCTCCAATAACACCAGAAAGAGTCGCTAGATTTGTTGCTAGTCGCTATAGCCAACAGAAAAAAACTAAACAAAACAAAAAAAAAAACGCCAAGATTTGGGAAGTTGCCAGATTTAGCGAGAACGTCATCAAGGTGGCACCACTGCACATGCTGGGGAGTGTCGCACATCAGCGGTTATGACGCATATTTTGAGCAAGTTCACAAAAATCTTCAAATTTAGAATCACATTTTAAAAATTAACGAGCTAAAATAAAATACATTTCAATTAAAGTACTCACTATTTATTTTCCAAAGTCACAACGAGCCGCAGCAGAGGTACAAAAGAGCCGCGGGTTGCCGACTCCTGGGCTACAACTACCACTTAGTTTCATTATTAATGAATCTGTAGGTTCTCACCTATTCATTTTAATGTCTATCTCAAATCCCCAGTGTGATCTCATCGAAGAATATTGTCTAGTTTGTCAGTAAATGCACAAATATTCAATCTTTTCTGCCAGTTCAGCTTTTATTCTGTAATGTATTGACAAAAAGAATTTTTTCAACTTGTTATCTGACCAAACTATTAACAAGAAAACCTTAAATTTACTACCAGAATTTAGTACTTCAAAGGTTTTGATATTTTTGCTGCTGGGCAAACACTTAAGTCCTTTTCATCCGATGTACTCATGTTCAGTATCCCGCTCTATATGTCAGCGGTTTGAATGAAATGAAGGATCTTGTCCAACGTGGTGTTTTGTGTGTGAAGCACTCTCTGTGTACAGCACAGAAGCAAACATCTTCCGACAGCGCTTGTAAGAGCATCTTATTAACAAGAAGCCCGCATGAAACACTGGAACCTTTTGAAAAAAATCACAGGCTCTTGCAATTTGAAAATTGAAGCTGTCAATTCAGTCGACAGTTTGTTCATTCGCGAATTTATGCATTTAGGGGTTGTTCATTTACTTTTTTGAGTCTGACTGAGAGTCAGATACATTATTTTAATAGCTAATAACATGCATGAGTGCTTCATGCAAAGGCTTATGGGTAGGTTTAAAAAAAACAAAACACAAACACTACAGTTGCTAGCTGTGATGTTGCCATGTCTAATGAATGCTTATATGTATATTTAATTAGTTTTTAAGTACAAAAAAAAATGAGAAGAGCCTCTTAAAGAAATCATTTTCCCAGAAGGCCACATAATTATGAATTCCTTCCCGAGTGGAGGGAGAAACGTGAGGCGAAGTCACCGTATGAGTTGAAAGAGGACGATGACAGCGTGACGGGAAATTAGCTGTTGCAGTTTGGCCCGCTGATTTGCAACAGCAGCCGAATCCTCGGCAGCACGCGGGCATGATGAACGTATTTTTAGATCGACTGCGACTTACACTTCCAGAGGATATTGTTATCTCTGATGTTCCATCACAAAAAAACATCCACAAATTTGTTTAGAAATCACCAAAGAAAAATGACCCGTACAAGAGAACCTGCTTAAGATTCATAGTTTGTTTTTTAAGTTTCCCTCAAGTATCAAAGTAGTCTGCACATAAATGCAGACAAGATTTGCTAATAGCCAGTTCAGCATCATTTTATTGGTGGATTCTATTTATAGACTAAAACAATGGGGCTCCAGTTGTAGCCCACAGCATCATTGTCTGACTCTCCTGCCACTTTATACTCCCTCTTTCCACCCCGACAGCCTTGTGGGGGTAAAGAATATTAGAGGAAAATATTAACTCTATTCATGTTGCGGTATTAAATATTTACTAAACCTTAGAAAGTTCCATCGAAACTGCTGCAGATGAGAAACTAGACCCCCGCAAAGAGCACTTGCAGAATAATAACAGTCCTAATCGTGAAGGCCAGTGGTTTCTACCTATCTGCCTGCAATTTGTTTTCTCCCATTTTCTCCTCAGCCGCTTCCATTTTTCTGCTGAGTCACTGCTCCGACGCTGCCGTGCTCGCTCGCAAAACACTCTCCGTCTGACCGGGCTTTGTCTTTGACGAGACTCTGTTGTTTGTGCACCACATCTGTCTCTTCTCAATCATTCTGTCTTCCCTCTCATCTGTGAACCTCCGCTTTTCTTCTCAACCCCTGCTTTGCCACCTCTTTGTCCCCTCACACGTCTCTTTTCAATGTGTTGCTCTACTGCCTTTTTTTTTTTTCAGTGTTCCCACAAATGGAGATTTGGTGACAGATAGTCTATCTCATAAGATTATATGTTAACTTTGCTTCGGCCTCAGAGAGCCTGGCCAGTGGAGATGAGGAGGAATCGCATTTTAAATGGACTCTAGCAGATTACATCGATGAGATTGCTTTTAATCCTGCCGGAGTTCTGTTGTAGCAGGCCTTATGTTTCACATAATTAGCTTTAGAGGGGAAACTGGGAGGAGGAGATGTGTGCGGGGCTTTTGATTCCCAGTCTGTCAGTCTGTCTTTTTTTTGTTTTTTAAAGCTTGGTTGAGATGAGACGCAATTTATAAATATGTATATGAAAGATACCAACAGACGGAACGATAAAACATTCACACATATGTCGTATGTCTGTTGTCTGTGTACTTACCAGGATGCTTTCCTCTGTGCTTTCTGTTCAGTTGTTCAGGAGTAAAGCGATGGAGCTGGGAGAGAAGCTACTGCCTGCCTTCAATACGCCAACAGGAATCCCCCGAGGAGTCATCAACCTGGGGAGGTGAGTCTCAGCACCAGGCTTCACCTTCAAATGTCCTCCATCCCTGACAAAAGAGGATGCAGAGCTATTAGATCGGCTGGCTTTCATCAGCGCGCGCGAGTTTCTCAACAACAGCTAGAGGGTGGTGCAGAAAAGGAAAAACAGAGCCAAGTTTGATGAGCAAGTTGACAAGAAATAAGACAAATGCAAATACTTTTTGCATATAGTTAAGCCACCTCTAATCCTCAGTTTGGTTACACTGTATGGCAGCTGTAAGAAATAGTAATCCAAGAAAGTTTGGCACATAAAAATAAACTTATTCAGAGGCCTGAAATACAGAAAATAGATTCAATTCTGTAATTAAATAACAACTTAGCTCAACATTTATATTCAAAAATGAAAGTAGCAACATTATATAGGCAAAAAAGTGAAATAGGAAATTAATTTTTTTTTAAAACTGAAGTCAAAGTCTCAACAAGCGGACGCAAAGTCTCTGTTTACCAACAATAGATGAGCTGCGGGCTGCCGATGACATTTGGATAAGAATTAATCTGTGTTCATAAACACTTTGGAAGATCATATGAATAATATTTGCATGTCTTTAAATGAGTAGCGTTAATTTTTAATCTGTTCCAAACCATTGCCTTTCTAATCTAAAATCTTTATAGACACGATCTTGTTAATGCCACGGTCACGCAAACACAACTTGGAGCTATTTTCATTTTCAGAGCAATTTGACCGTGGATTTTTTTACTTCTCTACGTGCTCAGATTTGGGTTTGGCACTTTTTTTTTTTTTTTTTAAGCAGGAGCAGGAGGGAAAAAAATGGGACTCTTGTTTTCTGATTTAATAGTCTCATAGTGAGACTGAAATCAGAGCTGAAAAGCTTATGATGAATGCTGATAACAGCACTGTGTCGGTGACTGTGACAGGCAAATTATCATCACTCGCCTGCATTCCTGCAGCGTGACTCCACTTCTGTTTTGTCTTGCCAGCACACAATGTGATGCTGAACAACAGGGCGGAAAGGGTCCATTATAATGTGTGCGATGAGACTGCATCGAAAATATCTGATGTTATTAGGCCTGTTTTTTTTAACTTTTAAACTCCTTTTATGTCTGTTTTCAAGACTCTGGTAAACCCTACAGCCCTCATCTTCCTCTCATTTCCTAATCTTATTTTCTTATAAGATACTTCCTGGCACCTCTGTCATCCACCTGCTACCAATTAACCCACCAGCCAAGCTGGACAGCTGCTGGCAGATTTAATTACCTTATTCTACAGTTAATTCGTGCTACATCACCAATATGTGCCAGTGGTACAGATGGGCAGGAGGGACCATGCTGCCCATAGTGTAACACACACACACACACACAAAAATCAAGCCTTTACACTCGCACACATCACTTTAGAGGTGAACATATGCAATGTGTAAGAGAACATAAACAGCCAGTCAACACTCTGCACATAGGGGAGTTGTGGCTGTGACTTTGCCAAGGTCTTTACTTACACGCTATAAGTGATTTGCCATTGATGTTTCTTGATGTCGGGAATTTCTTCTTGTATGTTCAGTGTTGTGTTGTGTGTACCGTCGCCAGACATTCCCTTGATTCTTTCGATCTTGAGGATTTTGTGCTTTGGTTTGTTTGATGTAAAAGGCAATCTTAAGTCGAGGTACACAGAACTGGCATCCTGAAGACATCACCATGGGCTTTTATAAAGGTTTAGTTTGATTTTTTTAGCACTTCCTGATGATTTAAAGATCAAAAGCTGAATTTATTATTAAAGAAAATAACTAGCTGATTAATTCATAGTGATTTTTTTTGGTTAGCTACCTTTTTCTGCTGTTTTTTTCTTGTTATTGGAGCAAATGACATTTCTTTTGCATCCAGCCTATTAATTTTTCCTCCTCTCAAAGGAGAAACATTTTCATTGTGCAAGAACAAATAAATAGTTTACGCTGCAGCAAAATTTATGTTTAGTATTTTACACCTTTTCCCTTACAGAAAACAAAATGAATGTTCACCATAGTTAAAACCTCTGCTTCTGCTCGCACTAAAAACACATAAACGAAGCCGAAATATCGATTTTATAATAATTCACAGAAGAAATATGTTTCCAGTCAACATCAATGACTTTATTTATTTTAGCTCTCCTTTTAAAAATGCACGACACCAATTTCTCCAGCACATTATGCAAGGCATGTGGTATTGATTTTCTTTTTTTTCATCATTTCTTTACACCTGATTAGATTTTTTTGACAGCTTCGGAAAACCGTGTGTTTATGAGAAGGGTTGAAGAGATTAATGGATGTGTACCAGTGATGCTGCTTACTCGGCAGCGGTGGTTCGCAGACTATCACCCCCTCCCCATCCTCTTTAAACACCCACACATAAACACACCACCCACCGGCCCGCTTAGACTGATTCTTCTAAAAGGAGACGTCAGATACGACTCAAGCCACAGCTACTGACGGTGCAACCTTTCACGGGTGCATTTATCAGAGTTTGAAACTCTTTGATTCTCCTCTGTCCTCACATGTCAGCCGCCTCCCACCTTTTCCTTCCCCCCATCAACAACTCAATTCATTATCCAATATCTGATATCCTCCAGAAACTCCTAGAGGTCAGTCTGGCAGTAAATTCTACCTTAACGAATCATACACGAGCATCAGTGCGCCATACATTTCCTGAAGCGTTTTACCGACGCCGACTGATGGAACAAAACTAAATAGCATCCTGTATTGACGACCTTTTTAACTCATACGCATAATGAAGCAGCACTAGGGAGCTTTAAATAGTTGTTAATAAAACTTTACACAAACATCAATCACATCAGGCAACAATACATCTACACAGCAGCGGATGATGATAAAGGTTACTTCATAGACTTGTGATTAGTGTATTTTTAGCAGACAGAAATTCAATTTGCTTGGCATCATGTAATTAATTGTCCGTGTGCCAGCCCAACGTCAACTGCCAAGGAAATTTTTATGTATTTTAACGACCGGGAATGTCGGGAAAGATCAAAACATCCAGCCTCTTCGATTCCACTGCCAACTCCCGGAACAGTAATCTAAAAAATCCCAACAAAAAAGTATTAGCAATTTGGTTCCTTTGGGTCAGTGTCACAAGCTGTTTGTCATCCTTTGTCCTAGTTAACACAATAAGCGGATTGTCTTTACTATCTTTCAGTTATGACCTTGAAACCCAGTATTAGTATTATTTATCAGTTAATTCAACTCAGTGTCCCTTAAATTGTGGATTACAACATTTGACAGTCCTGTAATCCCACTATTACTAATTATTTTCTTGATATGTTTGAGCTAAAAAATGTCAGAATGTTCTGAAAAGTGCTCATCCTAATTTCCCACACTCCAGACTGCTTGAATTGTGCAGCCAACAGTCCAAAACTCAACAACAATCAATTTGCGATCACACAAGACAAAGAAAGGAGCCGCATCTTCACATCTGAGGAGCTGGAGCCAGTAGATGTTTGGCATTTCTGCTTAAAAGACATGTTTTAAATGATCAACTAATCCTTTTCAGCTCTCGTGTTTAGGATGATAGCACTCTGATAATCAGAATATCTAAATGTTCAATTCGATGAATACGTTTCATACAATACACCGGATGAAATGGAACGTAGAGAACACTGGAAATGGCTGCTGATTTCCATCTGACGAGGAAATGAAAAGCAAGACCCCAAGCGTCATGACGCATTAGGCAGAGAAGTACATCGGGCACTTAGAGTCGCTTCTTTAACTTTGTTCGGCTGCACCAGAATGTAACGTGTCATGTAACATCTGATGGAGAATGGAAAGAATGGAACATGAAAAGAAGTTAGAAACACCATGTCCTCAGGAAAAAGAAAGAAAAAAGACGACTCCAACAGCAGCCCAACATAAAACCCCAACTTGTCATCGTAGTTGATTAACTGGATGATACAGATGTGCTAAATTTTAACTAGTTTAGTGTAGCTGAGAGAAAGTCATGTGCTTGATTTAGTCAGGTTCTCTTGGGAAAAAAATGTCAACAGGCAAACATAATATGGCAGCAGTAGCAAACCTTAAAAACCAAAACTTTAGTAGCAACACTCAACAGTCGTCAACTAGCAGCATATAACACACACAAAAATAAGAAATCTTCTGTGTTACCAGTTGTTATATCATCTTAGGTAGGTAAACAATAACAAACTGATCTGCCAGGTGAACTAGACTTCAGTTAGTTGTACCAGCACCATGGTGATGCTTTTTTTTTTAGGAGTGGGGGTTACTGAAAAGGGCTCGAGGAGACAATACGATTCCTCAAAGCCTTTCCTGAAAATAGAGGATTTCTAGAAGCTCCCTCTTTGAAAGTTTTTATCTCCTGGAAGACACGCATCGACACACACAATCGGCAGAGCCAGTGAAAGGGACAGACAGAATTTCCTATGATTTTATTATAAGCTACATTTGGAACCCATCTGTATGAAACCCACGGTACTTAGTCAACCTGTCTGAATGTTGTCTCTGTTGCAGTGGCACCAGTTGGAGCTGGGGCTGGGCCTCAGCCGGGAGCAGCATCCTGGCTGAGTTTGGAACCCTTCACCTCGAGTTTGTGCACCTGTCCGAGCTGTCCAACAATCCCATCTACACTGAGAAGGTTCAATAAATGAATCCCACCCACAGCTTTACACTGCAGGAGTTCCTACACATCATGTTCACTTTAGTATATGAGTTGGTGCGATCACATCATTTAGCAAAGGGTTCAAAATGTTGCTATTTCTTTGCTGTGAACTCTGATTTCTGAACAGCACAGTTTCTTTGCAAAATGCTTTTCAGCCTTGAGGTGATGATAGAGTTTACTTTGTGGAACCACGGCAGTATTTGAACCTGATGATGTGTGACTCTGCAGGTGATGAACATCAGGAAACTTCTGAACAAGATTGAGAAACCCCACGGCCTGTACCCCAACTTCCTCAGTCCAGTCAGCGGCAACTGGGTCCAGCGTAAGTACTGTAATTAATCATAGACTGTATAAAAGATGGACGTAGCAACCGGCCAAGCCTAGCTGCTGTCTCCAAAAGCCCTGGCTCCCATAGACTTGAATTGGAAAAGAAGTGATCACAGATCATGAAATACTGCATTCCTACAGCTCAGGATTTTTTTCTTATTAGTTTTCACAGTCAAATCCAGAGATCAGGTGGCCAATCTGAAAATAAATCAATACTGAATTTTTTAAAAATCGTCAACATTTTGCGGGGCAAGGGGCGTGGCTGGCTTGATTGACAGTCGGCAGCGACCATACAGATGAAGCGAGCAGAAGGCGGTAAACGTGGGCGGGCAGAGAGGGCCCACCTCTCAATCCGTCTGACCGTTCGCTGCTCCTATGGCTCCGCCCCCCTCCGACGATTTTTGGCTCCAAAAATCCAAGATGTCAACCAGGAAGTAGCAAAACCCTGGCGTCATTTTCTCAGTGCAGAAACCAACGGGTGACGGTAGCTACGTCCATCCTTTGTACAGTCTATGTAATGAATGCATACATGATGGTTATGTTTGGTTAAACATGTATGAAATTAGGAAATGTGTTTTACTGAAAAAGACTTTGAATGTGTAATAAACGCTAATGACTCTCTTGCATAGAGAAAAAATGAAGAATCAAAGGTGCCCTGAGAAGGTCCTTGTTGTCAGCTGCTACATAATACAGTCATTGTGTTTTAACAATGTGGGTCAAACTCAAAAGAGTCCGAGTTCAATGAATTTCATTTTACATATTTACCTTTTTTCTTTTCTCTTTCTTTTCTCGTGCTTTCACGCCGCCGACAGACTTTGAGTCACCTCACGTGTCAAAGCTCTTTGAGCTGCTCGTCTCTGTCACCCACCCATCCGTCTACTTCTTTTCATTTTTAATATCAGTCTCATACAGTAGCAGTGGTTTTATGACTCCCATTGCTCTAGGTTATTAAAATGATAATGAATTCAATTACTTGAGGAAATTGGATCTTTCCGATTTACCTGAGAGAAGGTGGGGGGAGAAAAAAAATCTGTTGATAAGATGATGGTGGGAATAAAAAGGTGGTAATCTGGATGATTACAGCCGCTAATTGTTGTGGATGAGCATGTATTGAAGCAGAGCTGTATATAAATATGAGCACAAAGAAAAGAGAAGGTTTAGCTTCAGTGCTTTTCCTCATTTGTCTGTGTCAAGGACTAACCCAGCAACACTGATAACCTTGCGGGGGAGTCGGCATAGGTGTATGTGCATGCAATTAGTACGAGTGGATGGATTCAGACTCGTGCGTGCCTCTGCTCTAATAGAACATTCAACTTTATGAATTTGAAAGTGAACTTAGAGCGAGCCGGAGGAAAATCGACAGCCACTTGTTTCAATTCCCACTGACAAGCTTTGAGTGCGTTATATAATTTAAGGTTTTAATTTTGAAATAAACATCACGGAGAGCGCGTGGGTTCCCAGTACATGGTCACGCAAACCACGAACTGACCAGAAAAGCCACTAGTGGTGAGGTTATCCAAAGAGTAGGAGTGGAGTTTTTGGTCAAAACCCTGATATGATGTAGTCAGAGTGTCACCAAGTTTTTCTTTTTTTTTAAATAGGAACTTGCACTTAAGGGACTTTGAGCTTTGTAGCCCCTGTGGTTAACAGCAGTGGCAGTGTTTGCTTCAGGTCTGACGGCTCTGCCTGAATCGCAACACAAGGATCAAAAGACAGCCTCCTGCAGTACAATCCGCTGAGAAAACAATCCTACTTTTTTTAGCGTAAAGGCGTCTAACGTCTCCCAGCAGCCTGCAATAAAAGATTTTAGAACTGACATTACTACCTACAAAAGGCAAGAAAATAGTTTGGGACCCACTATCACAGGAGTGGGCAATCCTGGTCCTCGCGGGCCACAATCCTGCATGTTTTAGATGTTTCCCTCTTCCAACACACCTGATGGATCGTTATCAGGCTTCTGCAGAGCTTGATGATGAGCTGATCATGTGAATCATGTGTGTTGGAAGAAGGAAACATCTAAAACATGCAGGATTGTGGCCTGCGAGGACCAGGATTGCCCACTCCTGCTCTATCACCTTTCTTTTTTTTTAGGAATATGTATTTAATGCATTTTAAGACTGGCAGAAACCCTGGATAAAGACCCGCGTGTGACCCTGCGCTTTTCCTCCAATTTCCTTTTTCAGATCATGTTTCCATCGGTGGCCTCGGGGATAGCTTCTACGAGTATCTGATCAAATCCTATCTGATGTCAGACAAGACGGACGACGACGCAAAGAGGATGTACTATGGCGCGCTGGAGGTATGGAAATCTTTATCTTCAGACGCGCACAAAGAGACGCGTTCGCTCAGGCGTAGCTCATTTAGATAAAATAAAAATAATTACAGTCATTTGCATAAGCGTTTGATCAAACAAATTGCTTCACAGACAAAGACAAACAACAAGGACAACAAGCATGTTGTTTTAGGGGGTAGTTGAAGGCTGCGTAGAGGATAAATCATCCTAAACCCGCTCCATACGTGACATAGTGTGATTGCAGCTGTGATCAGACGGCGGCTAACTTGGGCACGTTTTCATCTGCCGTCATGTTAAATAGGTGCACTCCCACCATCTGCGGAAAAACGCCTGTGCACAGACATCGACTACATGGCACACGCATGCATAAAAATACATCCGGAGCTGTCTGTTTTCTTGTCTAATGAAGATAATGCCAGAGTAAAAGCACACTGCTTCTGGCTACAATTACAATATCATAGACAATAACTTAAGATTGCCACTGAGATTTCGTCGGTTCTCATCAGAGGGTCAAGCCAGAGGCAGAGCTGCTAATTACACACTCTCCCTCTCCCCTGTGACTTGGTATTTAAATGGCCAAGGACCCCCGCACTATCAGATTAAGTTATATGCTGCATGTTTATACAAAGATCTAAGGTGAAGGCACGGCACAACTTATTATCTCTGGCATTCAAATAAAAGCGCACTACTAATTAAAACACGGTGCGGAATGAGAGAACATTTTCCAATTATGCTGTGCCATGATTACTGCTAACAACAGCTAATTAGAGGGAAAATCATCAGTCTCAACCCTCAAGAAAAATGTTTTTTTTTCAGGGAACATGGTATTCATAAGCCTCCATATTACATACATTGTTTTGTTTTCTGTTATTGCGAGTTACATCTTCATCAACCCTTATTTAGCATTACAGGCTTTTCATACGCAGGAGATGCAAGAGGGAACAAATGGGTACTACATGCCACAGTGCTGCGCTTACAAAGTAATTTGGAATTAAAATGTAGCCCTCCACAATCCTATTTTTAAGCTCATCCTTAAAGGGCTGTTAGTAAAAAAATTAATAACGAAGGACTGGACCTGAGATTCCAGTGGGAGTTTGTATTTATCGGCACTTTTAGCGCGATATTGCCGCTCGGTGTCACTGACTACTATTCCAAGTCAAATTGAGCAGCAAGCCAGACAGAATGGGTGAGAGGAGGATGACACAGAGACTGACTCTGTAAGGGGAGAGAATGAGTCATTCAGAAATGATCTCATGAGATGTTCTTCTACAGTCTGTTTTATGAAACATAAAGCGCTGGCAAGAAACAGCTGCAAAAGAGGCAGAAAATTTAATTGCGTTTAGTGCTTCTCTTACAATTAAACTTGAGGGTTTTTTTTTCAATTCTTCCATGAAAGTGGTTTTCACTGCGTGTTACACGGATCGTAACTCAACATATGCAGTAGAAACATACAGTCGTTGTGCAGCATCTGTGTTGGACTCACTACTTACATGTGAATCAGTGTTAAAGCTACTATCTTAATCAAACCTACTGTAGCTCTTTCCTTGGTCTGCTCTCTGTGTTAATTGGCTTATTTGCAGCATCGTGAGGTCGTGGTAAGTCACAGTCTACCCACTACTACTGTGCCAATTTAAAAGTACAGCAAAACTTAGTGAGCATACTTTGAACTTCAAAGTACAGAGTGTTAATCTGGTAATGGTATCTTGTGGATTTTCCTCTGTCTTCTTCAGTTTAAAAAAACAAAAAAAACATCCACCTACCTACAAGAATCACATAGCTTCTACTCTTTCAGTAACAGAAAGTAAAAAGCACAACTCACACGTACCAAAGGTCTAAAGAGATTTCCTTTCCTGCCATATTCTTTTTAATCTCGTGCTGCTCCTGGAGGGATACAATGGTACTAATTGGTCAACATTTCCATACAGGGCTATTTAAGTGGTCTAATTCTAAAATACTGCTGAAGCATTACTTTAGATGTTGCTTGGAAACAACTAATTATCTGAACTACTCATCCGTATCATGAAGGTCCCCACCTGCCGTCTCCTACAATAGTGTGTCTGCCTCTTCTCTCTGAAGCTAACCTTGAAAAAATAAATCTCCTCCCTCAGACCTGTAGGAGTCTGCAGCTCAAGAGTGTCTCCTTCTGTGCTCTACCACTCTGTCTAATATGAGTAGAAGTACAGTCGTGACTCGATAATCCGGCACTAAATGTAAAACCTTCTTTTATGTCGGATAGCAAGGCTGTCGGCTTGTCAAGACGGAGGTCGAGATACAAGGAGGGCTTGATGCTTTAAGGGTCATTTGTTGTTTATATTGATTGTTTTTAGATGCTATAATAACTAGTGTATTGCTAGAACATTATGCATCGCTGGATTTCACACCTAATTGACTGGTGCGCTTGTGCACGGCCCGTCGGTTTACATCAAAGGTAAATGTTCCTAAAACCGAATCTGATCTTTTGCCATACGACTTCTGTCTGAACAGCCAGGTCGCACCATAGACTGTATAAAAGATGGACGGAGCAACCGACCCTGAAAAATGAAGCCAACCCGGAAGTGTCAAAAACCTGCAATATCACTACGTCCACCACCTGCTGGCTCCAAAAAGCCCTGGCTCCCATAGACTTCAAATTGGAAAAGAAGTGATCACAGATCACGAAATACTGCATTCCTACAGCTCAGGATTTTTTTTAGTTTTCATGGTCAAATCCAGAGATCAGGTGGCCAATCTGAAAATAAATCAATACTGAATTTTTTAAAAATCGTCAACATTTTGCAGGACAAGGGGCATGGCTGGTTTGATTGACAGTCAGCAGCGACGATGAAGACGAAGCGAGCAGAAGGCGGTAAATGTGGGCGGGCAGAGAGGGCCTGCCTCTCAATCCATCTGACCAATCGCTGCTCCTATGGCTCCGCCCCCCTCCGACGATTTTTGGCTCCAAAAATCCAAGATGTCAACCAGGAAGCAGCAAAACCCTGGCTTCATTTTCTCAGTTCAGAAACCAACGGGTGACGTCACAGTAGCTACGTCCATCTTTTATACAGTCTATGGGTCGCACTTATCCAACCTACATGTCATTGATAAACGACAAACTAAGGCTGGTCCAAATAGCACTTTGCCCAATTAACGATGAATATCATAATAGGTGGATAGCAAGGTTATCGGATTTTTAAGGGTCAGATTATCGAGTCACGACTGTAATATGCTTTATTTAACATCTATCAGCCCAGGCATTGATTACATGAGCATCACAACCACTGATCAAACAGACGTTTCCGATGTTGATAATTGAACAGGTTTTGCTTCATTAGGTGCCACTGACTGTAAGAATATCAATAAATATTCCTGACTGTGTGTTTTCTGCAGGCGATCGAAGCCAACCTGGTGCAGAAGTCCCCTGGTGGCCTCACCTACATGGCTGAGTGGAGGGGAGGCATTCTGGACCACAAGATGGGTCACCTGGCCTGCTTCTCCGGGGGCATGATCGGCATCGGAGCTGATGACGGCGCACCAGAGAAGAGGCAGCACTACCTGGACCTCGCGGCTGAGATCACGCACACGTGCCACGAGAGTTACACTCGCTCAGGTGAGGGGAGACGTCAGGGTAGTCGGACGAGCGAGCAGAGACTCCAGACGCTGCATAATAGTTCAATTCAGGAGGCTCAATGTCATGCAACGGATGAGTGATTGCCCCTGCTCATTTTATGGATTATATATGCTGTAAATGTACCATGTCAAATTGAAAGATCCATTTTTTTCCCCCCTTACTTCCACACAATGCCTTTATTCATTTAATGTTTTCAGACTGGCCACAGTGAGTGGCCTTTTTGGCTTTTTGTACCAGACATCTGCACATTTCTAAAGCCAAGACTTGCACCTTTCATACCCAGCCTGACCCTTCTAGTACTGCTGAATTTGAGATCCTGACCCAACACAAAGGCAATATTGTTTTCTCTCCCTCCAAAAAAACAAGGTTATATTCTTGCTTTCGAAGGGCTTTTCTCACAAATAGAAAACATCCAACAATGGCAACAGACCAGCTCAAATATGTTGCAGCTGCAAAACATACTGAGCTGTTAGGTTTGGTGGAAGCGCACACATTGTACCACAGCAGGCAACGCTGTACAATCTCAAAATAATAACTGCCGTACCAGATTTTTAAGAAGCTTCCCTTTTGCACGCTCTCGCTTTATTTCTTTCATTACTGATCACTGCTATAGCTCGCCAGGCCGGCGCGACTAATTGGCTACATTCTGTCTCTCCTCCTGCTTCCCAGTGGACGTAGTGTTTCTCCTCCCAAAACATAAAACACATCAATGCAGACAATTGGTGGAGTCAGGAAGCGAAAGAAAGAATGTTTTTCTTATTGAATTACATTTAAAACCAACTCAACCTAAACCTCGACTAAAGAGGATCAAGTTGAGCAGTGACACGGTTTTATCAAAAATCTGAATTCATAAGTGCACTCTTGGTGTTTATAAGCCAGCAGAATTTCCCAGTTCATTACCGCTGTGGTACGATACCTGTTAAAGAGCTGGCAGTCGGTGTGAGAAAACAGTCGAGGGGAGCAGTAATGTAAATTAAAAGGGCCCCGGGTGTTTTAATTTTTTTTGCCCCGACACAAAAACGGAGCTTTCGTGGTTTCTTTACCTCAACGGAGAGAAGAAGAAGGCAGGTCTAATAAGGAGCGGCGAAGAATTAAACTTCTCAGTTATTCTCTAATGTTTCACAGCTGCAGGCAGCAGACGTGCAGCCCTTTGAGTGTGTTTGATAATCATAATCGCGGTTTGTTGCATTTTAGTGGGAAGAAAAGGAAAGTGAGGAGAAAGAGAGAGGGAGGTGAGATCAAATGTGGAAGAGGAAACATTGTGATAAAAAAAAGAAACACCTCCGATGGCATATTTGCTGTGGCTCCAACCTATAAATCAGAATGAGTGTGGTAGCATCAAGGAAAAAAAAAACAACACATAAGCGAGCCTGCCCACATGTTTTGCGACGACCCTTGTTTGATCTCCTCCCTGGCATCCGTCTTGGCCCTGACAATAATCTCCTAATGCTAATTTCAAGCTTTATTTTCCCCCTCCACTGTTGGGTGGGCTGTAAGGACTCATCCTCAAGTGTTTCCTTCGCCTTCGCTCCACCAGTAAGCTAATGTGACTCATCACATAACAGGTTCCGTGATACGCTTTGAAGACATTTGATCTCCGGGCCCAAAAGGCTTCTCCGACTTTCTCTTTCATAGTCTTCCACCAGGTTTGTCTTCACTCATTACAGGGACTGCACGGTGCTTAGCGGCTCTCGGATTAGCCGTGCGCAGAAAAGAGAGACAGAAGTGAGATTTGCTCTTGCATGTGCGTAGAGGGGCTGCTATTTAGCTGTGTCTTAAATACTGATACCGCAAAGACTCTCCTTCTGCTGCTGCTGCTGCTGCTGCTCTGGATCGCTGCCATCTTCATCGCAACAAGCATTGTGCGGGGAAACGGGGGCCTCGTAGGAAGCGGCAGGACGAGGGAAAGGTTACTGGTTTGAGAGAAAATGTTGTAATAGACTTGTAGTGCTTTGTTGTGCTGTTTTCTACAACTGAGATGTATGAGCTGATGTGCAGCAGAGGAAGGAGAGAGACGGATTACCACTTCTTAATCCATATTCTACACCAAACACTACTTTAAAATCATAGTTATCATATATGGGTTGGCCTTAAATTCAATGCACTGACCCATGTGATCTTAACCTCAGTTTTAGAGGTCAACCAGCAGCTAATACGACATATTAAAATGACTAAAACACAGTCAGGAATCATTCATCCTGCTGAGAACTGTATGAATTTCACGGAGGTCAGCTCCCGTTTGCAGCCAATCAAGTAGGTGGCTGAGGATCTCCATTATTCTGCGAATTCTTAAGGTAATTAGCTCAAACCCTCTCTGATTCTGAGGAGACCGAGACTGGTGCAAGATTATTGCAAATCCTGAGACTAACTTCTAAATTGTGTGTGAAGCGAATTCTGCTGATATCGTGGCGTCTGGCGCTGCGAGTTCTCCAAAAAATTCTCATTTTGAATTAGCATCGTAGCGGTACACTTTTAATTTAAAAAGGATTAAATTGATCGCCGTTCCACAAAGGAACCACAAAACCGCATCAACAGCCCAGAGAATTCTCTAAATTCAAAACAAGCAGTCAAGAAGCACAAAAGGTGGACGAGTTTTCCGAGTCAGCTAGACAGCCCTCGGTGTATTTAAAGTAAAGTTTGGTTTTTTTTTTGGAAGACAACATTTTGCAGAAAGCCATGAAAATGGGCTTGGAGAGGAGAGAGTAGAGCAGCTAAGTCTTGGATGTGTGCATGACTATGTGGTGCATGAATGTATCAAGGCAACAGTTAAACAGGAGGATAGCCGCGAATATAAACAGATCAGATTAACCTGATGTGTGTTGTGCTGCACAGAAACCTCCTGAAGTTTCTAAAACACAAGACAAAGATGTGGTGGTGAAGTTTGGAGAATAAAATGTAAAATCTTAAGCTTAATAGCAATTCTAATCTAACATGGGTCTCATTTTGAGGCAGTGCAGTGACCAAAATAAACAGCATTCTTTGTGACCTTCACACTCTTGGCCGTCTCTGTAGTATTCGGTGCTTAGTTCGGGAGTGCACAGCTGGAAGGAAAGGTGCAAGCAAGTGGGAGGATTATTCAAATAGGACGGGGCAAAGCAATTTGTTGGTATTCAGAATTCTCACATCCACGTCTGTCTCGTTGTTTTTGCACAATTAAAATATGGCCCAGTCTGTTTTAAAGAGAGATTTAAAAGCAGATTAACTGCAAGCTCGTCTGATCTCCTTTGGCAGGTTGCGCAAAAGCCGAGCGGTTCTGATTGCTTGTCCTCTGGTTTTTAGCTCCGACTTGGGAATCATTAATAGACCTACCGGAGAATCACAGTCTCGTAGGGGGTTAAGCAAAGCCGAATGGAAAAACACAGGAAAAATTAGAGAATAATAAATAAACGTCTGTCTCCTGTTCCACCAAAAGACGGGTTTCTCTGCAGTTGAGGTAAATAAAAGTTCAAATATGCAAGAATTCACGCTGTAAATCATACAGTATGAAACCTATAGTCTCCATATTTCTCTGTACGTTTGCTGCTGTGTACTTTGCATAAATCTGCATCCCTCTCCTCTGTAGATGTACTTTTTAGGTTCCTCTCCTTTTTCCCCTGTTAAGGTTCAGTTGTGAAGCTTTCCCAATTAAAATCAAGCAGCCTCGATGCAAATTTGCAATTTTTAGAAGCATAAACGAAACCAATTTGAAACCGTCACGGTATCTTTTTGTCTGACTGGTTACTCGGTTTACCTTCCGACCTACAGGTTGTCCTCCGTTTCCCCTCATTACGACTTTGTGGCAGACGTATAATGCAGTCTGCGTGGAACAGTAAAACATTTATTGCTTTGATGTTTCCCCTTTGTCTTGCATGCTTACTTACACACTATAATGAGCCGACTGACTGAGAAGCCCCGCTGCCTGTCACAGCAATTTCTTATTTCGAGATGATTTTCTGGTCCGACCAGATGCTGCTGCTACTTGTAAACCCGCAGTGACCTCAAAGAACCTGCCTCCTGCAACCATGGTTTTATTTTCCAAATAACCAAACAGCGGTTGACTAAAATCGCAAATGAAGTATGGGGGGGAAAAAAAATGTCTGAGCATTGGCGTGTTTCTAAATTTAAGACGTTGCTATGCCGATGCTCCTGTCCTGACCTCGGCAGGAACACATTTCTTTGTACGGTTTCTCTTGAATAGAATGTCTTTGCCATGCAGTCTTGAAATATGGTAGAAAAATAATGGAAGCAGAAAGTAGACAGCTGAGGAGAAATAAAGAAACCAACAAACCATTTGGACAACTGTCGAGATCATATTTAATTTGTGCCTTTGACACTAAATGAATGACTTCTTTAGACAGGTATTCTGTTCATTTAAGCACAATGACTTTTTCATTTAACTTTCTTTTCTTGCAAGTTAACAAATTACATTTTTCAAACCGACTACAGATCTGTTCAATAAAAGTTTTGTATAATGGCTGCAAATCACCTCATGACCTCCTATGTCTTTATTTCTGTCCCTGTCAGCCACTAAACTGGGACCCGAAGCGTTCAGATTTGACGGCGGCGCTGAAGCCACAGCAACCCGACTGAGCGACAGATATTACATCCTGCGACCAGAAGTCATCGAGAGCTACATGTACATGTGGAGACTGACCCATGATCCCAAGTACAGAGAGTGGGGTTGGGAGGCCGTTGAGGTGAGATTCTCGATACAGCATGTAATTACTTACTGCGCTGACCTTAATATAAGATGAGCCCACTTTTCTTACACCTATTTTTAGAAGAAAAAAAAAAGGAAAACATTTATCAAACTAGTCTTTTTAAAACGTTTCCCCAAGGTACTATTAGCCTCTTATTATACTATTACTATTATAGAAGATAGTCTTCTACTATCTCTGAAGCCTTTTATTTCAAAAGGGGAAAAAAGCATTTCTAAAAAAAGAGATGAATTACTTACATTAAATCAGAATGTAAATCACATGTTCATGCACCTTCTTTAAGTGTATTTTTAAATTTGGGAGAATAGTCTTATTCAGGCTGAGCGTTAGATGAGAAGATTGATATTGCTCTTACAGATCCATTAAATATGAAACTACGGCAAGTAGCTACTTACTTTTATTACCTTAATACAAAGACTGGGCACAGGGGGAAACACTTAGTGTGGCTCTGTCTAAAGTTAACAAAAAATCCACCCACCAGTGCTTTCAGAGCTCACTAATTTTACCCGTTGTAATATGATTTCTTTAATCTATACAAAAACCAAAAGGGCAAAAGCAACAGTTTATTATTACAAGGGCTTATGTGCCTGACTATTTCTTGCCTCGGAGCAGTTGCCAGGCAACAAAAGAGGCATCTGTAGTAAGCGGTGACATATTGTAACCTGCTGTAGTTATACCAGACGGCCATAACATTAAAACCAGCTGTGCTAAAACAGCTCTGACCCATCGAGGAGGCATGGACTCCACAAGACTTTTGAGGGTGTCCTGTGGTGTCGGGCACCAAGAAGTTAGCAGCAGATCCCTTCCAAGTCCTCTAAGTTGTGAGACTCCATAGATAGGACTTGTTTTTTCCAGCACATCGAACAGATGCTCAGTTGGATTGAAATCTGGGGAATCTGGAGGCCAACTCAACACCTTGGACTCTGCCGCGTTCCCCAAACCATTCCTGAATAATTACCCTGCTTAAAGAGGCCACTGCCATCATTGAAGTGAAGGTGTGTACGTGGTCTGCAGCAATGTTTAGGTACGTGTCAGAGTACCACTAATGCCAAAGATCTCCTGACAGAACAGCGCCCAGAGCATCACGCTGCCTCTGCTGGCTTGCTGTTTTTACCCATCCTGCTGCAATCTCTTCTCCAGTTGCCGACGCACACACACCCAGCTGCCCACTGGTACAAAATAAAACGTGATTCATCAATCCTTCTTCCGTTGCTCCTTAGTCCAGTGCTGATACTCGTGAGGCGCTTTCAAGCAGTACACATGGGTCAGCATGGGCATTCTGAGGAGCACCATATGCATCGAGCTGCGACGCACCCTGTGTGTTATGACACCTTTCTATCATAGCCAGCAATGGCTTTCAGCAATTTGCGCTACAGTAGCTCTGTAGGATTAAACTGCATGGGCCAGCTGTCACTCCCAACACGCATCAATAACCCTCGTCCTTCCTTTGACCACTTTGGGTCGGTACTAACCACTGCGTATCAGGAACAGCCCGCAAGACCTGCCATTTTAGAGATGCTCCGACCCAGTCATCTGGAGATGTCAAAGTCGCTCAGATCCTCGTCTGTTTGTCCTGCCTCCAGCACAAATTACTGATCACTACCTTCTTAATACATCACACTCACTGACAGGTGCCATTGTAACAAGATAATTCATGTTATTCGACTTCCCCTCCTTTCAGTGTTTTTTTTTTTTTACCATTTTGTAACCATGGTAACATGTAAGCTCTACACCACACAGGTGCAGAAATTTTTACTAATTAAGGAAGTAAAAAGCAACCAAATGTAGGCATCTGGTGAGCTTCTGTCGGGCTCTTTATATTTCTACAGTTCCCTTATAATAATAAAAAAAAAAAAGTGAGCCACATGTAGCAACCACATAATGAAGGTGAGATATAACAGGATGCCTCCTTTTTTCACTTGCAGCCATGACTAATAAAGCTCATATCTCTTTGCAACCCCAGATATAATGACAAGCACATAAATCACTGCAGCATTGCTTCTCCGTCCAATTATTACCTGCCTGTCAATATGACTTTATTTAGCAGGTCTTGGTTCATTTTTAAGAAGAAGTCAGTTGTTTTTTTTTTACCTGGGCTGCAAAGTATTACTTCACTACACTACAAGAAATTCTCCAGCAACATTAAGTGTATAAAAAGTGAATAATCCAACAGTTAGTCAGTGTAAAGTCACACAATGACCAGCGCTGTCTTCATGGGGAACATCTGCTGGGAGCATCTTGTCTTTAAAAATCCTACTTTTAAACGTAATATCCAGTGAAAATATGTATTTTGTTCATGCCAGTGCAGTAATTTCATGTTATATTTAAGTGGCAGATACTGAACGGTGTAATTCTGTGCCCTATATGTCTCTCTTAGCAGTGGCTTTGATTATTATTTCATAAATTTCGCTCACCTACTATGTCGAGCCCCTTGAACGCCCTCAATTATCGCCGACCGGTTCCTTGATATCGTACGGCACTATACGCTCGCTTGTAGATCAAGCAATCCCACTAGTAGGGGGCAAAGGTTGCGCGGGGATCGCCATTATTAATGTGGCAATAGACAGAACATTAACTGCAGTAAACTGCAGAGGGCTGGCTTGATAGATTTTAGCATTAATTTAGCGCGCGCGGAAGTGAAGAGATCAGGCTGACGAGTTTGACGGGCCTTTAATTATCGGGCACAAAGGTTGAAGGCAGTGCACAACGCTTCTCTTCATGAACATCAAACATTAACACGTCAGGGTCTTTGTTAATTAGCACGTATAAGCCAGCCCTTTGTAGCAGAGGTAATAATGGGCTAATCCGCTTGGCTAGCTCAGCCACTCTCCATTAGCCCCTTGTCAGATTTAGCATTGCTTGGGCTTCAGTTGTGCAGCTGGGGCTGAAGCACTTGACACGTTCGCTTACTCTTTCTTTACACAGAGACGTTGTTTTTAGTCAAACATTTTCTCCATTTGCGCCCAACATATCAGAAGAATACCTAATAGGGTTTTTACTCATGCAGTTTGTAAAATGTTTGGTCCTTTCACTGCAGAAGTGAAAAGGCCACTCGGTAAGAGGGCTCATTAATGAAATATGCATGAATAAATAAACTGTTATTAATTCAATTTGCACAAGTGCAAGTGGTTGTTCCTTTATCAACATTTAAGCATGGCCTCTCCGTCTCTCCGTCAGGCCCTGGAGCAGCACTGCAGAGTGGAGGCCGGCTTCTCTGGGATACGAGACGTCTACACCATGACGGTCAGCCACGATAACATGCAGCAGAGCTTCTTCCTCTCAGAGACACTCAAGTAAGTTCAATTTCCTCCGCCGCATCCCCCGACGGCGAGAGAGCTGGCATTTTTAAATCTACATTCACAAACCCGCCAGCGACACGAAAGCATCACAGGGTCGAACACCGAACGCTAGAGATTCGTCTCTACCTATTACCTGTCGAGTCTATGAAGCACACTCGTGCTGTGAATGAGACCCGGACGCCATCTCTGTGTTCAGGAGTCATCTGAGGTGATTCCAATCACTCTCTGAATATGATTCTTTTCACTTGTAAAAAAAATAAAAATAAAAAAATGATGGCGAATAGATAGTGTGCAGTTAGATGCTTCAATTTTACCTCCTACAATTCTGGGGTCATTAAGCAACACAAACCATTCAGAATGCCACTTTGTATCACAGCTAGTGGATAATAAAGGCCTGTTTCCCTCAAGTCAGGTGCATCACAGTCTTTTAGATCAGCAGTCACCGAACTGTGCTGCTTAAACCATCCCATGTGAGCGCTTTCAAAACTGAAGCTTGTTTTAATATAAAAGAAAATATAAAAGATGAATTAGTCCGTCCTTGTGTAGCTGCCAAAATCATTAATGAGTGTGTTGTTAATCACTAACAAATTCACAATAAAGTACATATTCATCTAAAAGCGACAAATAAAAAAAGTGTAGGAAAGGTTAACGATGATATTGTTAAAGTCCATATTCTAAGTTCTAAGGACTTACAAGACCCATATTTCTTAAGTAACACTTATTACAAGGGCAGTAAAAATATGATAAATAAAAATATTGCGGTTTAATGACTAATGTGAAGATACAAGAGGGAACCTGCAGTTTTGAAATAAGATGACGACTCGTGGAGTCTTTGTCGAAGGATCGGAAGGATTTGTCATCTAATACAAAAAAATCCTGTGGAACAAAGTCGTACGTGGAAAGCAGCTTTCGCGAGACACAGTGCGGCCAACTGTAAATATGCCAGTACGGTTAGCGTGTTTACATAGACAGACGAACCTAATCTAGTTCTTAAGACAATCAGCACATTTGCTCGCACTTTAGTCGCTCGTCATTGTTCATTCCTACGAAGATGCGGCAAGATGGAAATTAAGATTGTCATTCTTAACCCTGAACCATGTGGCTTACTTTATATTCAAATCTATTGCACGGCACTGCTTCCTGTTGGGACAGCAGCCAAACTCAAGAAGGAATAGTCCGTTTTTGATGGCGGAAACTCTCTGGGTTGCTTTCGGTTTTAGTCAGACATTTAATGCAATTATTTAGAACAGGAGGATGTGTGCTTTTGTTTCATCCCATGGCTCTGCTGCGATGACTCTCTGTGTGAAGTCAGCCGTGCGTTTGCATTAATGTAAGAACGCTCATTAGAAACTTGGTTATGTGTAAACATGGCCAATAAATCTGAAATAACTTTAAGAATTTATGCCACTGCAATGAACTTGCCTGCAACCCGATATAAATAAGTTTGGGAAAATGCTTTATTGTCGACTCTCATGTCTGTACGGTGAATATGAAGCTAACGCCGGCTGGTCCGGCTCTGCCCAAAGGTTACAGAATCTGCCAACCAGCTCACTCATTACCACACATCTCATTTGTTGAATGCATTGAGGAGGTAAAAATGGCAGGACAGTGGGCGGCAGGATTAATGCGAGGAGGACATTACTCTGCCTGGGCACAAAATACACAGGAAAAAAATACACACATCTCCCCCAAAACCACAAACAACCTAGATATAATATGGTAATCACTCAGCTTCAGAGGTGCTGTAGGTGGATTTTAAAACTCTGGCACGGAGCCATCTGGGCTGTTTCCCTCTGCTTCCAGTCTCTATAATATGCAAAGCTAACCAGCTGCTGGCTCTTTCTTTATATGCACCGTGTAGACATGAGAGTGGCATCAATCTAACTCTTGGCAAGAAGTATTCCTTCATGTGTACACTGACAACTGTGTGGAAGCAGAAGTATTCAATAAGCGCTGATTTTGATTAAATTACAATACTTTTCTTTCCCCTGATTGCTCAGGTATCTGTACCTGCTGTTTTCCGATGACGACCTTCTCCCCATGGAGGACTGGGTCTTTAACACAGAAGCCCACCCGCTGCCCATCATCCGCAAGAGCTGCCAGCGGGGTGAAGCAACACAGGATAAGACAGCCTCCAAATAAGGCCGAACCACCACCCATCAACTGAGACAGTGACATCTGCACACACAGAATCACAACTATTGCAAACACCAATTCAGTGCAGGTTCAGAGTCTTTTCAGGAGCGCGCTATGGACTCTCGATTCCTTTCCAGTAAAGGATGTTGTCGTTTTACGCTGTGATTGTATATCCTTTCGCCGGGTTTACTTCCTGCTGGCACTTCTTTTTTGTGGACAATCAAGACAAAACATGACTTTCATGAAAAGAGCACCTTTTTTTCTTTCCTTCTTTCCTCTGTGAGGAAACCAGTATAACTTGCAGACCCAAATGTATGGGAGGAGGGTTGAACTATGGGCCATATTGTTAGAAAGAGAGAAACGTATAGAAAACCACTTGAGTTTTGCTCCTTGATTTTGTCGTTTCGTTAAATCTTGAGTGATGAATGATTTCCTTAGATTCTCGTCATTGCATTTTTATCCTTTGTGAGTACACTCTTTGACCAAAGGTTTCTTTGCATTTCTATTTCCCTCTTTTCAAAGTGAAGTGTTTTGGTGAGATTTGATGGAAGGTAAAAATTTATAACAAGGATTGAATATTGATAAATGTACAGACAAACATGAAATGTGACTCTCAAATTCACCTCTAAACTAATGTTGATGTCATGTTTCTTACTGAAACAAGTTTGAATGAATTTTTTAAAAGTTGGGAGGTGGTCAGGAAAGTGGCTGTGTCTTATGCATCCAGGGACCTTTTTTTTTTTTTTTCTTTTTAAAATGACGTCGGGTTGTGTTTCCACTGTATGCTTGGTTTATTTCTTCAACGGGACAGTGCTTTCTCAGTTTTCTCAGCCTTTCTGATCGAAGTAAGAAACGGAGTACTGTCAGTTCTGTGACTGTAATACAAGCATAAAAGTTAAAAAAAAAAAAAAAAACATTTGCTAGTCGGCTCCAAATGGGTTTTTCCCGTGTCTGTTGTAGGTTTTTCTGCTTCACCTTGCCTTTACATGTGAATCCATACAGCTGCCAATACTGATGTTAAAGGCTGTTAGATTGCAGAGATGAGTTTTCATTTTCATCACTTTTTTTTGTTCTTTTCCCTCCATCACTGCTCTTCTGCACAGTTACGGAGCGAATGTGCTGTACATACAGACGAAGTGAGTGACCCCCCCTGTATGAGCTTGTCTTGACTTTGTTTTGTGTCTCTTGTTTTTTTTTGGTTTTTTTTTCTTTTCTAAACTTCAGTGGTTATTTTTCTGGATTCTCTTTTTATTTGCTTCCCTCAGGTGTTTCAGTAAAAAAGAAAAAAAAAGAAAAAAACTAAAAAGTTCTGATTTTAAGTCTAGTTATTGCTGATATTAATTATTGTTATTACTTATTCTTACTGTTTGATTTAACTTTCATTGTTGAATATTTTCAAATACTGATAAAAAAAGACCTGTGCAACTTTGTACATTTAAAACAATCACGCTTGTTGTGTTGTGTTATTATTGGCCTTGTTTATTTATTTTAAAAAATTATTATTTATAAGGCTAAAAAAAAAATGTCCTACTTTCTGTGGCATCTGCTTTTTAGTGATTTTTGACAGCAGGTAACTTTTAAAAGGAAGCAACCTGCAGTGAAAAGGAAGGAAATTCGTGTGCTGCTTAGATTTGTTTCGCTATTTGCTTCCAGGAAGTTCATTACGGATTTAATTAAAGCGGGACGTCTCAGGGTTGTGGAAAGTTCCAGCAATCACAACCAGAAAATGACTAATGAGGTTTAGCCATTGCACCTCTTTCAATGTGTCAGGCCAACAAAGCAAGATTTAATATCGCGCTCCCCAAATGATTCGGCTCTACCTGCTGTCACCTGAATCCTAATTTCAGTGCGGATAGTTTGAAGTGACTTCACGTTGGCTTCAACTTGAATCAGCATGCACGATCGACATGATTGACATTTAACGGTAATTTGAAAAATGGTGCATTAAACGCCACGGATCTGGTGTCATTAATCTTACTGACACCTTTAAAAAGAACCAATGCAGAGCTGTGCTAAGTTTAAAAAGTGTAATATGTAAATGTTATCTAAGCTGCAGCCCACAGCCACAGTGTTGCCTTCAGCTAAGGCACGGTAATGAAAGGAAGAGCAAAAAGTCAAGGTTACAATTTGTACATGTGAGCTCCGCTGATCTCGCCTGAGGGGCATAAATGGGAGGATCACCGTCCATTTGAAAGAATATCGAAGGACAAACACTACAAATAATCCCCTCCCCTCCTTTTCTTTCCTCTTTGCTGCTCCCAAAGTCCCCGGCAAGCCAAGCGGGGCAGACGGAACAGAAATGCCGACGCTGTTGTCTGACTTGGCAAGACCTCCAGTCGATGTGTAACGAAGGGGGAAAAGCTATCGCTATCTCGCTGTCACAGTTGCCCTCCAGCTGTCCCGACCAAGACAGCAGTTTTACAGGGAATAACTGGCACGTCATGGATATCTGGTTCAAATATTTGCCAGAACTTTGATATAAAATCATTTTCGACTCCGCTTACAGTCGACCTGCTCACATTTTCACCCGTGCAGTGAAGGTAAAGGAGGGAACGGAAACAAAATGTTTTCTTCTCGACACAAACAAAGCAAAGCAATACTCATATATATATATTTCACCGTGATATTTTACCTATTCACTTGACCTTCTGCTGGGACTAATTAGACATTAGTGACAGACTACTGCTGGCTTTACATTTCCTTG